AAAAAAAATACAATGAGAGGACGACTTCGTAAAGCAATAGAAGATAGAAGACAGCGCGACTCATGCCTTGTCGAGCGCCCTGACTATTTCGGTGTGGTCGAGTCCTCTTCTTCCCAGCGTGATTTTGGCCACACGCTATTTCTCTGCACGCAGAAAAGAATAAGGCATTCTCAGTTAAAGTTCAAAACACTCTAAATGCGCAATGAGAGCATATAAGCCATTGTGGTGGGCGAAGTCGACGCGACGCGCCAGGTGTTCCAAGGCGCTGCCGAAGAGGACAATGAAAGAGGCACTGCGAAAGCCTGCGGGAACAGCGTTCCGCCTGCGCTGCGCTGTGAGCTTTGTGTTTCGCGGTCTTTGTCCCGGAGGTGCGCGATTGGATCGCGATGACACCCGGAGGAGTGTGGTGCTTCGGAAACGGCACCCGAAATCGATTCAAAGCGCGTGGAATACCGACCAACGGTGAGTGTTGTCCGCGAAGGGGATCAACTCCGGGGCACTTAGTGTGGATCAGCCGCTTGGTACGCGATGTTCGGTGCGGTAGCGATGGACACATATTGCACAAAGCGTGATCCACGAACGCCGTTGATTACTCGTGAACGGCCTTGTGAATGAGCTTCCCACCTATGGATTGCTTCGTCGCACTTGAAATTTGGCCGTGTACAAGTGTGCTTTGTCTTTTTCGCCGTGAACACCTGATTTGGAATGCGAGACCATCACATAACTTCTACCTTTGGTTTACCCTTCGGTTCTACCCTTACCCCCCCCCCCCCCACACATATTTCATGTATGTAACGTTTCCTTCATTTTAGTCCTAATTTCGTACTGTAAAGCTGAGACATTGCTTTTTCTGACCAAGCAGTCTTCGTCATATATACCAATAAACCAGCAGCATGGCTCTGTATATGTAAGTAAGCAATTACACTCTAAGCAGAATTGAAAGCTGAGCATTGTGACAAATCCATTTTTTTTAATTTGTTTATGCAAGAAGCAACAAAATTCAATGTCTTCCTTCGTTGAGTGCGGGAAACGCTTCGCGCTGGAGTGCTCCACCAGATTGGCCATCTGCTTCCGCTCTTTAAATACGCCTTAAAAAGTGCTGTCCCCTTGCCTTATCCTTAAAGTTACCGTGTCGCCACGTTATCGTGCCACGCAGGTATACCCAACTGAATCTTACCCATTGTTTCATAAAGAAAGGAATTGGTGAAGTCATAGCAGAAAAGAAATATGTTTCTAAGTACTTTCATTGGAACAGTGGCAAAGACATTACTGTTGTCTTTCCTTCATTTTCCACAAGGGTAGGTACGAACGAATATTTTCTAAGAGTTCTAAAGTTCACACTTCATCTACGATATCTGAGTTCGCATAATTCCAGCAGATGTTTAACATGAAAATAAGAAATAATGTCACATTGGGTATAACTGTCGTTCAAGCACACGACTAAACACAAAGAAAGAGAAGACGAACACTTGTCCACTCTTCCTTTGTGTTTATTCCCGTGCTTGAACGACAGTTATACCATGCATATCCAACAAGCCCAACTTTCGATTCTGTTACACATTAGGCTGCTCACTATAACCCATCTATATTCCTAAAATCCTATTCTACCCTCGAAAACAAGAAAAAGCTGCACATTTTTTTTTCATGGCACGTTCATCACACCAGTCCAATAAATATTTGCATGCGGCAGGATCGTATGTGTCAGTGATTGATGATGATTGATTGATTTGTGGGGTTTAACGTCCCAAAACCACCATATGATAATGAGAGACGCCGTGGTGGGGGACTCTGCGAATTCCGACCACCTGGTGTTCTTAAACGTGCACCCTAATCTGAGCACGCGGGCCTGCAGCATTTTTCAGTGAAATGGGAAATTCTTCACAACGGTCATCCTGCAACAAGCGACTACAGTAGCGAGCACGCTGTCAGAAATGATACGCTTCTCGCATTTATGTCGGATTCCTGCTCTGTATTCAAACAGTGGTTCAAGGCTCAAAAGTTCCCGAGTAGCCGAATCCTGAGCTGACTGGAATAAGAGTCGCACGATTTGAGATAATGTTGGCAGAAGTGCGAAACCCACTATCACTCCGGGCCTCAAGTGCCTCGGTGTCCTCTCGATATTTTATAGGACAGAACTATAGCTCAGAAATCCTTAGCAGTGCATAGAAAAAATGCAATGTCTTCGTGCGCCACGGTTAATGCTACTAACACGAGCAAAGCGATTTATAATGTTTATATGTATAGGCATGGAGCAAAGAATCTAAAATTCAAGTGCTCCTTTTATATGTTAGGCACGAAACTCATGAGAACTTGGAATAGGAAAGAGCTGAGCAGTTGATAAGTATTCATTTTTAAAAAAAGACACGCCTTACAAATACGTACGCAAGAAGTCGAAACACCGTGAACGCCTACTAAGTTTGTCACCGTTTATGGTGTCGGGACTTTTTCTTGTATATATATATATATATATATATATATATATATATATATATATATATATATATATATATATATATATATATATATATATATATATATATATATATATATATATGTGTGTGTGTGTGTGTGTGTGTGTGTTACATTAAAATGGTCTGATAACTTCCTCTGTAATTGATTGATCTGTGGGGTTTAACGTCTCAAAACCACCATATGATTATGAGAGACGCCATAGTGGAGGGCTCCGGAAATTTTGACCACCCGAGATTCTTTAACGTGCACCCAAATCTAAGCACACGAGCCTACAGCATTTCCGCCTCCATCAGACATGTAGCCGCCGCAGCCGGGATTCGGTACCGCGACCTGCTGGTCAGCAGCCGAGTACCCTGGCAATAGACCACTGCTGCGGGGCCTTCCTCTATAATTTCCTTGGTACTATTGTCTGTTAGATCTCATTAATATTGTGTCAAAAACACGGAAAAACGAGCCCTTAAGTATACGCTTTTTTCCCTTATTCATTAACCAGGGTCTCGTACTGGCAGACTTTGTGCCTTTAGATTGATTTGAAATGCGAGATTATCACATAACTTCCACCTTTGGTTTACCCTTAGGTTCTACCCTTACCCTCCACATATTTCATGTATGTAAGGTGTCCTTTATTTTAGTCTTAATTTGGTACACTGAAGCTGAGACATAGCCTTTTCTGGCCGAGCAGTCTTCGTCATAATTTACAATAAACCAGAAGCCCGAGGGACTACATACGAGGTCAGCTGTCAGGTCGTAATAGGTTCACATGCTACCTGACGCCAGACAGGCTCATAAAGAGTGTGCCTCACTTGCCGCCATGGCTACTGAGGGCGCTGACTTACACTCCCACGTTTAAATTCACATATATACCCAATAGTGTGGCTGGGACGATAGCCGCCGAGCTAGCTCAGTGGTACATGCAGCATTGAATGCATTATTCGAAGGTCGCAGGTTTGGTTCCTGCTCACGCGAAGTTATCTTTTCACCCGCTTTTCTTTCTTCATATTTACATTACAATTGGTCTAATAACTTCCCCTATGCTTTCCTTGTCATTGTTTTCTGTTGTATTTCAATAATATAAAAACGCGGAAAAACGAGCCCTTAACCCTTAAGCATACACTTCTTTCCCTTATATATATATATATATATATACACTCAAGGATTCACAATAGAGGCACCAGAGTATGTTAACAACCGAACACCTACTTTTTTGGCAGCGCAGCATATGAGCTAGCGAGCAAAAAGAATAGTAAATTAGTAAATTAGTGATGGAGTCCCTCACACCGATAAATAGGAATACCAAAAAAAAATAAACACCCTAGAGCTGCGCAGAACAGTCAACACAGTCAGAACGAAAGGAGGAAGTGTGGTCTGCAGTAGAGAGTCCGTTCTATACTCTCTTTCTTGACGACTAAAGCAGGTACCCACCACCGTAAATTTTTGTGAAACAGGCAAGGACCCACATTCCGCGGCGAAATGTGGTACCCGTTACACGTATACGTATGGCACTACGTACAATTTGATGGTACCGTGGATGAGGAAGTATAACGGCTGAGTCTTACGTAACAAGTAGGAAGCATTAAAAGTCCAACTAGTTACGGAACTCTACGTACAATTTGATGGTACCGTGGATGAGGAAGTATAACGGCTGAGTCTTACGTAACAAGTAGGAAGCATTAAAAGTCCAACTAGTTACGGAACTCGCATTGCGTGGCGCCTGTATGCTATTGTACTATTCTACCACGCTTTATTACATGTAAATGTGATTACGTGCCCGACATGACGTCTGTATGGGGTCCTTTTTTTTTTTCAGAAGTACTTTCGGAAAACAATGAGGCTGCGTCGTAGAATACGCGACTGCCACTCCGGAGTCCGGTTTCAAATACCATCTGACTTTCGAATTTTTTTTTTTTTTTCATTTCATAGCGCTAACGGAGACTGGTGGATGGGGCGATGGTGGGAGGCAACTACGCCGCAGAAATTGGCTATCGTGACCACATAGCAACTTTAGCAGTAAAATTTTCATTAACTGGACCAAAGCAGATTTCTTTAGAAAAGTTATTATTACTAAGACACGGCTTCGGAGAAAGAGTTACAGTGGATAAAAGGATGTGTAACTTTGGTACTAGTCAATAAGGAGTGTACCTCAAAAAGCAATCTGTAATGTCTATAGCCCGATTTTTTTTCTGCCTTATTACATGCAGGCTAGCAGAACGCTATTTTTATTCAAATATCGGTGCACTAAACAATGAAACAATGTGCTTCTTTTGTTTTTTTATTTCAAAGCTTCTAGAATATTTTGCGAAACGTAACTACAAAAACTAAGCAACCACAAGATCTAACTTGATTTGACCCCCCTCTTTATTAGCCTTTATTGATATTGAGATATTGATATGGTCGAGATAAATAATGAGTTTCTCTATACTATAAAGCATGAGCATTTTTAGTAAGCTCTTTTTATATCATGTCGGCCTGATTCGCTATACAACCTACTATAGCGCTGTATAACCACTTAGGTCTTTGCACCTTCAAAACGAAATCAAACATGTTGTCTTCTTAATATAATGAATCTTCCCAGGTACAAACCTCCTGGTAGGAATACTGGTGTTTTCAGCATGTACTGGTAAGTCTACCGCATGAAGCGCATTCACACCCGCGCATTTTTTAACCAAGAAGTTTGCAACCTAAATGTCTTACGTCAGAGACACGCAAAAAATGGTGACATAAATTTTGTCAAACGTTTTTTAATGAATAGACTAGAAACACTAGAACTGCTCCGCCATGATTCGTTTGAAAGGCACAAGTCGTAACTTGATCTTTTGTTAACCCTTTTTCAAAGGGTTTGTCATTTCATTATTGATATTGCATAGTAAGAACAACGCGAATGTAGTGCGAAGCCAGAGAAAATTCATACGGATCCACGCACGTGACATAAAACATTTCAAAGTGTATTTTTCGTACTTTCGCGACATTGGCTCAATGAAATATTCCGAAACTTTTTGTGCTTTGTCTATAACAACCACAGACGACAATGCACTTCGTTTTTACTCATTAGAAAGTTGAGGAGCCAGTAGACGCTGTCGAAATGTATGACGTTACAATGCTTGGTGCGGGAATCTAAAAAAAGCGTCGTATCACAGTAGGAGCGGTGTTTTGGGGATTTGAAAATTTCGCTTTACTAATACGCGAAAAATAATTTTGCTCTTTAGAGTTAGAGTTGAGAGAGTTTAGTCTATTTACCACGTACAGTTGTACAGCGAGTGGCTGGGACAGAGGAAAAAAGCTGTATAAAACAGCTTGACAAAGGCCCATATCCCCATGGCAACTGTGGCAACAAAACCAGTGTCCCCTGGTGTCCCTCTAAACTACTGTGTAGCCTTGTTTTAAACAATGAACAAGGAGCTTACGAATACAGTAAGAGCCTTTATATGAGGCTCTTGATTGATTGATATGTCGGGTTTAACATCCCAAAACCAGCATATGATAATGAGATACGCCGTAGTGGAGGGCTCTGGAAATTTCGACCACCTGGGGTTCTTTAACATGCACCCAAATATGAGCACCCGGGCCAACAACATTTCCGCCTCCATCGGAAATGCAGCCGCTGCAGGAGGGATTCGATCCCGCGACCTGCGGTTCAGCAGCCGAGTACCTTAGCCACTAGACCACCACGGCGAGGCTTATATGAGGCTCTTGCTAAAGCCTGCTGGTATAGGATCAGTTGAACTGCAAAAAGTTTGTTCCACGTTTCTCCTTTCTGGACAGTGACAACCAGAGCTCAGGGGGGTGTCGAGCCCGTCGCAATGGAACCAGCTAGCAGCAACGGCTCGGCCGAGCCATTCAGTTCGGGCAAGCCTACAAACTGCTTCGTGGCACCCGAGGCCGGGCCCTGTCGCGGGAAGCTGTACCGGTACTACTTCCACTGGGGAGTGGGACAGTGTTACCGGTTCACGTACAGCGGATGCGGCGGCACCGGAAACAACTTCCGAAGCAAACAGAGGTGCATGAGGACCTGCTGGCCACGTAAGCCCCCTTGCTTGATTCTGGGAGCAACGAATGTCGTGCCTATCCTCGTGTGTTTTCGAGCTGTCAGATAACTTTAGAACACATGGTCTACGGTGGTCAAAAGTGTTGGAAGTGTTGCTTGTGCCACTGTTAGTCGAGCCTTTATTTTTTTTCTCCCAGAAAAATACCGACGGTAAAATATTTGGCCCATAACTTCCATAAGTCTTGACAGTGTAATATTGGCAGTGTAATAATTCATACCCTCTAAAAGCCCATTCGTGGATTACGCGACGCGGGGGATGGGGGGAGGGGAAGGTGTAAACAGTAATCATAACAACGTGAATTATAAAATCGGAACACTCTTAGGATCCAGTGATACAGTCATGTAAGGCAAAATGAAAATAAACGGCACGAAAAGTAAGCACCTGCACAAATAACAACGCTCGGAAGAATGTTTCATTGCTTAACAAAATTATGATTACTGATGGATAGGCTGTCACTCGGTAGCTTAATCGAACGGTATAAACTGCTAAAGGTAGTGATGAATGACGATGCAGATATGTGCGTACAAAAGGAGATAGTACTTTAAATGGGTTGTCTAGTAGCGAACCTGAGACACAATATGAGCAATTATGATGCGAGATATTCGGCACAAGCATGTCACGACAAAGACTGCGATAATATAACAGTGCCGCGAGCCTGCGTTTTTGAAGAGAGCAATCAAGGAGATTCCTTGTTATATTCATTGCTGTAGGAATAATTTGCAAACTAGTGAATTCATACTGAAAACTCGACCTGCTGCGCAAGCAGAAGGAAAAAAAGAAAGGATGGAAAAAGGAAAAAGCGCAATTTTAGAAAAAGCCCACAGAACTGGAAATCTGTGGCAGCAATTCTTCGCTCTTTCCCATTTTTTTTTCTGCTTGCGCAGCAGCCTCGCATTTGTCGAGAAACTCACTGCAGTGTGCGAACAAATTTTTTTGTTGACAGAAAAAAGAATTGTTAAAAAACTCTCTATTAAACTTTTGTACTTCAGAATCCTTTCATTAGTTCATTGGATTTCATGTTATTTTATTATTCTATATGGTCCAGTCATCCTTACTTTTTTTCTTCCTGCGGCGATTGATTTCTTCCTCATCGCTTCTCAAGATTAAAATCTACCTTACATTAACCGCTGGTTTAACGGCCGATTCGCAGTGGTGCGTATAGAATCCATAAATCAAGGAATAAGCGAGCAAGCAAGCAAGTCGAGTTTTCTTGATGCAGAAGTTACGTCCGTCTGTTTTTTTTTTCGATTTGTTGTGATGAATATTTATTATTTTCTCACTTTCCAGTGAACTATCACATGTACTGCCGTACAGAAGTGGAGCAAGGGCCATGCCAATCCTGGTCGGTGCGCTACTACTTCAGCGCGGAGAAGAACCACTGCTTTCCCTTTTACTATTCGGGCTGTGGAGGAAACTTGAACAACTTCCGTTCCGAACAGGAATGCCGAGCCATCTGCATTGCGGAGTGAAAACAACGGAACTTGGCATTCGGGCACTCGGCAACACTCCTAGAAGTGTCGTTCTCTGTGTTCTGTAAACAAGAAGTGAACTCGTAATAAGCGTCTCCAACTCGTATTTTGTGATCTCCCCGAGTATTTTTTCTTTATTTTTCCAGACGCGCACGGGAGCATACAATTGTTCATGTGTGCCGAAGGACTGCGCAATAAACTGAAGGCGAAACAATACCTGCAGGTGACGTTGAAATAGCCGTTTTGCCTTAGCAGGCGTCCCTTTTGCGCCACATGCAGTGCGACTTCTCGATCTGACAGTGCATTTCGCGTTGCATTGTCCCTGAAGTATAACGTCTGTAGCGTCGTCCCTGAAGTATGACGTCTGTAGCGTCGTCCCTGAAGTATGACGTCTGTAGCGTCGGTTCGACGTTCTCCCGTCGTTCGAGAGTCTAATAAACTTAGGAAAAGCCTACTCTCTAAACATTGCTAAAAATCTGGAACTGCGAGCCTCTTATTTGTCGAGACAGGTCACCGCAGCCTGCAACGTGCGCGAACGAAGACAGTTCACAATGCCCATTGTCACGGGTCGCATGTAGCATCTTCAGTAACGGCTTAATCGCGAAACAGAAGTGCACGTCTTTTGCCAACCAGTACACAACTCTCACAATGGTGCCTGAAAGCCTGAGAATAGTGACTAATGCGCAAGCTCTATAGCATGTTGCTGGTAGGAGCAGCATACATATCATGGCTGGCGAAATTCGTAGCCACGTTTCCGCAGTTAAGCCATATACATGACTGCAGCAAACGTAGCCCTCCCCCCCACCCCCAATGTATAGGAAAACTTTCTTTAGCTGAAAGCATTCGTTCTCAGTTGATTTCAAGCTTGATTGATTGTATAATTGATTGATTGTATAATTAATTGATTGATTGATTGATATCGGGGGTTTAACGTCCGAAAATCACCATATGATTATGAGAGACGCCTAGAGGAGGGCTCCGGCAATTTCGACCACCTGGGGTTCTTCAACGTGCACCTAAATTTGAGCACTAGGGCCTACAACATTTCCGCCTCCATCGGAAAACAAGTTTGCGGTAACGTCCCTGGGGCGCATAGTAACTTGGTCTCAGTAAGGCGAACGCAATACACTCTTATGAAAAGCTGACTACAGCACTTTCAACTTAAAACTTAGAAACAACAAATATTCTAATAATGAAGCAAGCTTTGAACAAAAAAGTCTACAAATCTCCGCGAAGTAAACGACTAACAGTGAGCGAAGGTAGGTCCTAAAGTTCAAGATGTCCACGTTGAAGTCACCGACTAGTACAAAGGACAGATGGATGAACAGGCGGATCGACGGACTGACGTTTCGACAGATGCGTGCACTAACCGATGGACTAACCGATAGATGGACTAACCGACGTATGGATAGATGCGCGAATGGAAGGGTGTTTTATAACAAGGCTATTAAAATTCATATTAAACATTTCACGGAAGTTCCCTTTTTGCGGCACATTAGTGCTGAACGAGCACCAGGAATCCCCCGAATTGAGAACTCGTTGAAGGACACGCGAGAGTACGTCAGCTACATCCCAAGAAAAGAGAGCTTGCCTGATTTGTGAGTACGCAGATCACATGTAGTGGGCGCATAATGATAACATTTGGGAGAGCGTCCCAAAACCACAACATGATTATAAATGCTGTAGTGAGTGGCTCCGGAAATGGGAACCTCCTGGTGCTATTTAACGTGAATGGCACATTGCAGGGTATACGCGGGCTCCTATCGCTTCGTCTCCATGCAAATGCGACCCCCGCGGCCGGAATCAAAACTCGGGTCGGAAATAGAGCACTAGGATTCTGGGTCGTTGGCCGAGCCCATCCTCAACCCAGAAGGCTTTGAGAGCTTTACTACGCTTTTTGCGGACAACTTGCCTCAGAGACAGACTGTAATGTCTTATACTTTTTGATGTTGCCTTTCCTTTGTCTATTTTTTGTAGTTTCTCTCTTTCTCTGTTTGCGATATTTCTTTTACCATCTTTTATTCACCTCACCCCTTTCCACAGCACAGGATAGACAGCCCGTCTAAGAACTGGCTAACCTCCCTGTCCTTCCGCTTGAACTTTCTTGCTCCTCCTCCTCAACCAATACACCTGTGGGGCGGACTGTAGTGCGCGCATCAATGAACTCAAATGAATATTTGATAATGGAACTCAATATAAACTGCGTTAGAGAGGGAACACAAGTAGAAGTATAGAGAGGACTTGTGTTTCAACTCCTGCGCAGTTTTATTGCAGTTTCCACGTTGTACCAATGATCGCTTTCAAGGTTTTCAACGCAGTTTTTATTAAGGACGGAATGCCTCCTATGATGTCGAAGACTGATATTTCAAGGTCGTATATAGGAGGGCCTGCTTCGGATATTTGACTCGTTGTGTGATGAACGACCTTCCGTTATCTTGTTTTCGTTACATGTAGCACAACCTGGTGTATCGAATGGTGTAGATGTCCAAACTTTCTTTATCGCTTATTCCTGAATTCGAAGTGCCCTTTTAGCGAGAGGTGGTTTTATTGAGCCATAAAATGAGGCTCGTCCTCTCCAGTATGCATTTCTTTCTCGACGAACATGAGGACCAGTTCAAAATTTTGCTGAACTTGACCAGAAGTTTTTGAGTGCTCCAATTAACTGCTGTGACTATTCTCAATGATGCTAACTTGTATGGCGTGCTTGTGATTAATCTTTCGGTACACAGCGAAGACGCGGACGATGAAGACAATGAAATTTGTTGTGAGCATAAAGGCACGCTCAAAATTGATTCTTTTCTGAAAAAAGGCACATATAAAGGGAGCTTGATACATTCACAATAGACCAAAATTCAAAAAAAAGCATTCGAGTCAGAATCACCCCAGACTTTTAAGTTACCTTTATTAGTTTCCCCAGTCGGTAATGCTTAGAAATGCGTATCCCTTTTTGCGCAGCCCAATCATGGACATGACTGTGCTAGAGAAGCGATAAGGATCAAGTACAAACTTTTCAGAAGCACTTATCCATAAATTTTTTAGAATCAGGAGTAGCTGATTCAAGCGCTTGTTCATTATTTTATTTAGTTTACCCTCACAATTAGTGCTCTGCTGGGAGAAGAGGTATATTACACACCGAATAGAGAAAAAAAACTTCATACAATAGAAGAAAACGTTAACAATGAATAAACTTGCAAAAATCTTGACCTATTACACTATGATCTAACAACAACAAACCTGACGAACACAACAGTAACTGCGACGTCAGAGATCGACAATCGAAAAGTAATACCAACAAACAAACACAGCACAGGTGACAATTCCAGCGTGCCTGATTACTTGCGCCATAAATCATGCCCAGGAATATAGCGCCAGGAATAGCGCATTGCAGGTATATTGCTCACACTTTGTGGGAAAGCTGCACTCTTTAGTACATCATACTAGCATATTGTGCGCGTCGGGATCGCAGCAAGTTAGGCTTAAAAAGATTGTTCAGTTTATTTGAACGTTTTTTGTACTGATCTTCGCGGAATACCGAACAATGAACGCTTGTGAAGTACCCCGGTCCGCATTAAACCTAAGCCACACCTTATGCGTCTTCCAAAATGCGAATAAAGCCCGTTGTAAACGAAGGCGCATAAAACACACAATGATTTTTTTTGTTAACACTATATATCAGCTCTACTAATTACAGTTCTTTATGACCGAGGACTCTAGTCTATTTCAAAATCAACAAAAAAAGACGACATGAATAAGTCATTAAAGCAACAGCTGCCTCCAAATGTGTGCATGCACAGTTTCTGAAATGAAAAAAACTTCAATAAAAACGGCTGAATGCATTTGAAGATTACTCGTATTTCGTAGCAGAAAAGATTCAACTGAAAACAAAAGGCAAGTAAGACTACAAATCCGTTGTGGCTGATTTCACATCCCTCGCGCAGATCACTGCAGGCGACCTTACATCATTCTTGTCGGAGCACAAGGGATCTCGAAAAAACATGGCTTCGGCCCCATTAATGGTATTACTCGCAACACCGTTCTTTACTTCATTACTCAGGTGAGTAAATGCGCATTAACAGGACTCCGACTATGGATCGAGAACGTAGCCAATGGGTGGCACACGGGCTCCATGCTCCCACATCTCCGCTTTTTTTTTTCGCCATTGCGAAAAATGACGTGGGCTTTAAAGTCCCAAAGCCATCGTATATGGGATTTAACGTCCCACAACTACTGTATTATTATAAGAGACGCCGTAGTGGAGGGCTCCGGAAATTTCTACAACCTAAAGTTCTTTAACGTGCACCCAAATCTCAGCACACGGGAAGCCGTGATTCGCTCCCGCGACCTGCAGGTCTGCACTCGAGTATCTTAGCCACTATGCAACCGCGGCGGGGCCATTGCATAGAGAGTGGGATGTGACCATCTCAAGGGGATGCGTCCTCACCTGGATCAAGGGTACCGAATCTAAATTTCTACAAACACAGGTCTGCTCAGGCACCTACACCCCTCTGCGCATTCTGTGGGGTACCATGGAAACAATAGATCATTTCTTTTTGACCTGCTGGCGATTTACTACTGTACGGAAAACCCTTGTGGCGTTCCCTTTGATTTCCTCGTCCTTTTGTTTGCGCTACATTTATGCCGTAAAGAAATACCGTTTTAGAAATTACCTTTACGTGGTATTGATGTGGATTTATCTGCGCCAGTCATTTTGTCTTTTGAAGCCTCGATTTCTAGGTTCTCCAGCGCGAAAGTATAGGCGCGGCGGTGAGGGGCTATATAATGGAAGTAGTCGCTTACCTAATCATTTACATTATTATCCTAACGTGTCTGCTCATTCTACACGCATAAAAATCAGAGTATTGCTCTAATTTAGGAATGCTTTATTTTTTAAATAACTATATGCCTTAAATGAAATATCATGACTGTCTAAGTGATCTGTAATCTTTTTATTATATAACCTCCGTTGTTTCAAAACTGCGTACTATTTTATAAACCTCCTCAATTTTTGGTCAATCCTCTACAGTGGGTATACGGCATGGCAATAAGTAACGACTGAAAATAGCGCTAAGAAACGGGGACACAAGAAGAGGACACACGGCACAGGCGCTGTGTCCTCTTCTTGTGTCCCCGTTTCTTAGCGCTATTTTCAGTCGTCACAATGCACCAACAAGCCCAAATTTCGACAGTGTTGGGCAATAAGTAAACAAGGACAAGTT